CCTTGGGATCTTTAATCCTTGGAAATCATTTTCATAAGGAGAGTTTCGTTAACTCCCGGTTCTACCACAAACGGTAACGCCTAAGTCTCCAAAGGTCGAGCTGCATACACCAACTGCTAGAACCGTTTGTTAACCCTACTCGGGTAAAACATTTTGAACCAACCTGTGGTCTTGTTAGCCCGAACTACGTTTGCTCTGATCTTTCATGCCGTGTGAAAGTACGTAGGCACGAGATGCGATATCTCGGCGAGTAACCTTCCCCCTTTCACCCGTAGTTAGGCGAACTACATTGACTCTGATTTCTCATTTCAGAAGGGAATACGTAGGCATAGAACTGTTGTGTTCTGCCGAGTCATTTTTCTTTTCTTTTGTCCCTAAGCCTTTAGCTAGATAGATTAACACCCTTTTAGATAGACAACAAGCGTGGATCCCGTCGAGTACGACGGACGTGAGGGGTGTTAATACCTTCCCCTTGCGTAACCGACTCCCGAATCCAGGACTTGGTTGCGATGACCTCGTCTTTTCCCTCTTTCGTTAGGTTTTCTCTGAGCGTTTCCTTTCCCTCCTTTGGGAAAAATAACGCACGGTGGCGACTCTTCTGTCATTGTCGGTCTCGTTTTTCGCAGTAGCGACAGACATTATACTCATACTCACTTGAGGGAACTTCCTTTCTTGTTAATGACTTTCTCTTGGTAGAAAAGACCATACTTTTACTCCATCCTTTGCCAGGTCCAACCTTAGTACTTTTCTTGGATGCCTTAGAAGGCTTGCTTGTAGACACAAAAACCTTCCCCTTTTTTTTCCTCAATCTTTTACCAATACCAGGAACTAGTTTCTTTCCAATAGGCTCATCATCAGAATCTAGACCATCTACATTGACAATGTTAGTAGACTGATCCTTCTTCACACCAACACTCTCTTCTTTATCTTCAACATACATACTATTATCATTAGAATCATGTCTTCTACCATTACCAGAATCATCTTCAGCCAAATTCTCATGAGATTTTTCAAGAGACTCACTCTGAAAGTTTTCTTGTATGGTTTCAATAGGATGATCAGGTCGGGCTAAGGCTGTTGCGAAATCTGACACAACATCAGACTCAGGGCCAGTAACCAAGATCTTAGAGAGAGACATATGAACACTTGTACCGACAGTGTCATTAACAACAATGTTCAAACTAGATTGACTTATATTTTCTTCCACTTTAGGGTTATCTAGACTCATAGTTTCAGAGGTAACAACATTTGAAAAAACAAAGTTTAAACCAAAAGTATCAACGATACCCACAAAGGCGTACCTATTTCCACCAAGTATTTCAACTTGCATCTGTCGCATTAAGTCTATATGAAGAAGTTCTAAAATTCTGGCTGTAGCCTGATGTTGTCACTTTGGGTGTGACATCCTGATTTGCTTCTCAATTTTATACTTACTACAGATTTTGCCTTCTTCAATTTTTAAATTGGGTAGACCTCTAACAACTTCTTTATACATAATCTTCTTCATACCTTTGAGATTCAGATGTCCAAGCTTTTGGTGTCATAACTTTACTTCATCTTCCTTGGACATTAAACATGTGTAAGAATAAGTATTTTCTTGAGGTACCCAAAAATAGCAATTGTCTTTAGTCCTAAATCCCTTCATTAGAACATCGTTCTTCTGATTTGAAACCAAACATTCAGACTTGGTGAATTTTACATTTAAACCTTGATCATATAACTGACTGATACTGATCAGATTAGCAGTCAACTCTTTCACAAGTAGAACATCATCAAGTCTAGGAAGTCCAATACACCCTAACTTTCTTACTGTCTTAACGTTTCCTTTAGCTCCATCACCAAACATGACAAAACTTCTGGAATAAGACTTGATTTCCACCAAATACTTCTCGAGTCGATTCATATTTCTAGAACAGCCACTGTCAAAGTACCTGTCTCCTCTAGATGAAGCCCTAAAGGAAGTATAAGCTATAAGACTAGAATTACCAACCTTAGTTTTCCACTCCTTTCTAGTTTTAGTCATCATATGATTAGTTCTAGGTTTTGTTGGATGTTTTGGATACCCATACAGTCTGTAACAGAAAGGCTTTATATGACCATATCTACCATAATAATGACATTTTCAAGGAAAGAACTTGCCTCTAGTTTGAGTTTTCTGAATTCTGGGAGGATGTTGTAACATTTGGCCAGAAATTGTGAGCTCACCTTTTACTTCAGTAGGAACAAACTTTGTCAGATGGGTTTTTCTTTGATTATTTAAAGACTGATAATTAAACTTTATACCAGTAAACATTTTACCTCCTTTCCCAACTTGAAGAATCTCATACAACACATGAGATCCATTGTTCACCATTCTTACAGATTTGGTCATGTTTTCAAGTTTAGGATTCAATAGGGTTACCTCATCTTAAAGACCAGAGACAATATGATTCTCTTATGGTTTTCTCCTATATTGCATACTTCTTCACTTATGATACAAAGTTCCTTATAGGAAGCAGCTAATTCTTCATAAGTGACATCTTCATCAGAATAATCTTCATCAGAATCACATCTACCAGTGAGTGTTCTAGCATACTTAGAAATTTCATCATCAGGTTCACTTTTAGAATCATCATCAAACAAGCCCTTCTTTTGTTTCAAGGTACGTGGGAAGTTCTGATCTAACGTGACCACAACCCTCACATTCATGACACTGGATACCTTTTCCTTTATTTGACTTATCCTCTTTTCTTGCTTTTCTCTAAAAATTATTATTCCTCCTGATGTTGAGTGACATGTCCTCGACATCTGGTTTTGACTTCTTATCCATACTCTTTAACATCTTATTGAATTACCTCACAAGAAGCACAATAGCCTTAGAAATTCCTTCATCACTCTCCATGTTACATTGAACCTTTTCATCATTAGTGTTAGAGATAAAGGCTATGCTTTTG